GGGGGCTACCGCAGGAATCCAAGGTGGGGAGGTAAAGACCCTTGTCAGAGTACAGCATCAAGGACTAAGAATGGGAGCTCTTGGCTCCATCTGCCTGCCTATCCCCCAGCCCTGCTGTGCCTGCCTGTCCCCCAGCCCTGCCTGTCCACCCACCCTGCCTCTCTACCAGCTCAAGCCTTTATCACCATGGCTTGGATAGTTCCCCAGTTCAGAATCTGTCCTGATTTGCAGTCAGGCCAGGTCCTCCATGAGCATTTGGGAACCCTGGGAAGCAAAGTTCCTGTTGGGGCTAAAAGAATGCCTGCATGGATTTCTCCCTCATGACCTGCTCCCTTAAGAGAACTGGGGAAGCTGCCCAGCTGATGCCCACATCATTCTTTAGAACCAGGGGCCTGGGTGTGAGTTCTGCCAGCCACTTATAGCTGAGAGACCATAGACAGGTGCTGCTGTTTTGCTATCAGAGTCACAGCAGAGAGCAACATGAGAATTGCATCATGATCTGTGAATGCTTAGAACAGGCTTAGGTAGAGTTGTACAGTTAGCATATTTTATCTTCATGAACCTGTGCTTACCTTCTTAAGCCTTAGTGTCCTCATCTGCTCACTTCCGGGGTTCCTTCTGAGAACTAGGTGATACCCCAAGCAAAGCACTATGGCTAAACTCTGGAAAACTGATTCAATTGTTAGGTTATTGGGACCCGGTTGCTGGCCCTGTGGCATATGTTATACATTTTACAAGCTTGGCCATTCAGGCAGGTGTCTCCTGGCTGTGTGGAGTCTACCTTCCATGGTTCTGTGTGACAGTCCTGCACTTCTGCTCTGCCTCTGCCCCTCTGAAGGTCAGCCCCTCCTGTTGCTGGCACTAGGTGGAGTAAAATGCAGATGCTTTGAGGGGGAGGTCCTTGGTGACTTCTGGGACATGGGTGTGGACTTGCTGGATTTTCCACAGAGGCCTGTGTTTCATGACCTGGTCACCTGCCCACACTCTGTCCACTCTCTCCTGTCCCTGTTGACCCTTGCATAGGTCCCTAGTAGTTTCTAGGCATCTCACAGTTGCCACGGATCCTTCGTGTTGCATTTGCCCTGCTTCTTCCAGAGCTCTGTCCTTGCTGGCAAACAGGCCCTCTGCTGCTTTGTGCAGATGTAGGGGAGAACCACTCCTCACACGTACTCCATGCCATACCTTGTTGCTGGGATCCCCAGGTAGACCCCTCCTCCCCACCACTCAGTTGTGTGGAAATGGCTCTTCTTGGCTGTCTGAGGCCCCTGGTCCCCCTAGGAGTCAGACAAGACTCAGATGGTAGCCACTGTCCTTGTGACCTTCCTTCAAACTGTGTTTTCCATCCTGACCTTGGGGTTGTACCTCCCTGAGGTTTTTCTCCCGGATAGTTGACCCATCAAGCCAGGAAGGATTGCCTTCGACAGCGCCAGAGTTAGAGCAGCCAGGACTGTTCTGGCCCCAGGGGTTGAGAAAACCATAGGTGGGCCTGGGCTTCTGCCAACTCCCCCTTCACCCTGTGGTTTCCCAATTGCTGGGTGGGTGTGAGGGTGACATTTGGTTCTAAAACCCCAAGTGACACTGAAGTCAGACCGAGTTGTCATCACAGTGAGGCTCCAAAGTGTTTCCATCTCTGCCACCCGTTAGACCCATATGACCCAGAGCCACTTCCCCAAGGAAAGTCGTGAAAAGGCCAGGGGAGGTAGGTGGGTGTCACCCAGCCTGCCCAATGCTGCCTGGGAGGAGCAGCAAGGGCCAGAAGTGTCCACAGACTCTTACTGTGTGAGCACTGGGCCTCCTTGTGTGGCGCCAGCCACCCCACACATCTGCCCACTCTGACACAACGGGCCTGTGTTCCCTAGAGCCAGTCTGCGCCTGCTCAGGAGGACCGGCAGACACAATCCTATCCTCTGCAGACAACTTGGGGATGGACAATGCTAAGGTGCATTGCAGACAGACCCTGTCATGTTCCTTCCAGGGCTGTACTCCTCCAAGCCTCCTTCCCTCTGCACGTCTTCTGAGTGCCAGGCACTCTGACTGTGGGGAATAGCACTGCCTACACAGGCAGGACTGCTGCCCGCACACCACTGACAACCCATGGGATAACAGATGATAACACTGTCAGATGCACATGTGCAGAACCATAAATCAGATTTAAAGATGACAGATGGGGTCTGGTGCTCTTTGTGGCTCAGGCCCGGTAAAGGGAGGAGTGGCTCAGTATGTTATATGTTTGGAACCTGAGAAAGCAAAGGTTACACAGGACATGGTGGTGCATGCTTGTAATTTCAACCCTTGGATCAGAAGTTTAAGGTCAGCCTTAGATACATAAATGAGTTTGAAGCCAGATTAGTCTATGTAAGACCCTGTTTTTAAACGGTGGTGGAGGGAGACCAGCAAGATAGCTCAGCAGGTGCTGGATGTTGTGGTGCATGCCATTAATCCCAGCATGTGGGAAGTAGAGGCAGGTGGATCTCTTTGAGATCAAGGCCAACCTGATATACAAAGCAAGTTCCAGGCCAGCAGGGGCTACAGGGAGACCGTGTCTCAAAAGAAAACAAGAAGCTCAAGCGGGTAAGGGCACTTGCCACCAATCCTGACAATTTGAGTTCAGTCCCCAGGATCTACATGTGGAAGGAAAGAACCAACTCATGCAAGTTGTTCCCTGACTCTCTCCCTC